CCCTGGATGGTTCATGTTAAAGAACTTGGGGTTTCTTCATGAAACACCAATTTAAAAACTTACTTTAAATGCCTTCAAAACAGTGCATCAATTTGCATTTAGCCATAATGAGAATTCAGGAATAGAACAGACAAAGTGGCTTTCAGCAAGGTGAGACATTGTTTACCCAGACGCAGGGTTTTAGTTTTTCCTGCATCAACAGTTGCAGCCTTGCCAGTAAAGAATGAACTATTCAGGTTGAATGAGGGAGGCTGTGTCTGACAGCCAGGTCTCAGCGGTGGCTCAATAGCTCCCAAAAAGTTCACCTCACTGTATTCTGGTGCTTGGCACTTTAAGCTAACACCCAAATACCTCATTTTGTTACTTCTCACTATATAGCACACCACATATTCAAGCTCAGCTACTGAATATGAATCTGTGTTTATTTTTAAAGCACAAACCAGTCAGTGATAGGTAGAGATATATATACACACACACACACACACACTGCCAAGTCTCAGTTCCATATTACAGTATGCACAGACCTACATATATACATACATACACCAACTGTCACAGTGTACCACTTTTCCACTACATTCTCAAGACCTGCTCAGTATGTGGTATGGAACCCAGACACAGCTCTGGTCTTGTCAACTAGAGTGGACAAGAGTACAAATGAGACATCATAATGAAAGTGGCCTGTAGCCCAGAGCCCTCAGAAGGCAGCCTTGTGTCCCGCCGTGCTGGTTGCAAGCCTTAGACAGAGCGCCTCAAGCTTGGCTGCAGCAATGCCATGCGTTTAGCAGGGAATTTAAAAAAAAAAAAAAAATGGCAAGTTCATTTAGCAACCATGTTCACTCACATGCCTGCACGTCCAATTAAAAGTGGAGTACAAATGAGCTACTCTTCTTTGTTCCTTGCATTACTTAGGAGAGTGTTTGATGCCCCCGGGCCATCAGAAGCAGATCGTCAAGTCAGTTAAGGCCTGAGTGAGTTATCAACATTTCTTTTTCCATGGTAGACAACCTATAGCTTGTCAAGTTCCTCTAAAGGAGCCCATGAAAGCAGACAGGATTAAAAGAAGAAGTGACGACTGCCACTGTTATGGCTGAGTGGCAAGTTTATCAAAATCATTTTTAATGCTTCTTCTAGTTTATCTAGGGCAAGAGAAGGAGAGACTGTGGCTGGGCCCCAGATATCAGACAATAATGCTTGGCCCATTGTTTGTCTTGCTCAGAGTGCCCATTCACTCTCAACCATAAATCTGCATAGGCTAAAGAGTTGCTTATTGAAATCCTCTTCACCTCTTGCCCTTTTTATTTCTGAGGAAAACTGAATATACCCTTCAGTTTCTATTTGCAACCACACATTTATTTGAGAAACATTAAGCCTTTTCGTCCATCTACAATGGAGGTGAATCCTACAGTTGCAGGATTGAAACCTGCTGAATGAAGCCACAGATGACAGAGCTAAAAACTGAAGTTAAGGGAAATGGGAAGAACACAACATAACAGGAAGTTAACAGTACAGATACAAAATGTGTACTGGAAGCTACTGCTAACAGCCTGAGAGGCATTTGACACTTAAGATTTCCTGTGCAGCAATAAAGTGATTGTCAGTTTCTATCAGCTCATATGCTGGCCACTCTGCCCAACAGCTCGGTTCCTTCTACTGCCTCACACTGCTGTTAAAATGCTTTTAACCTTGGTCAAATGTGAGATCCACTTCCCTCCACAATAAAATTCTTCCTGTAAGAAGCATATCGATTTCACCTGCAGAGAAAAAATATTTTTGGCTCCTTACCCTGAGACCCACCTGATCTCACAATTCTGTCTAGCCTCTCCGTGGAAGGGGAGGAAACCCTGGACCTGGGGCTGCCCGGCAGAGAGCACTCGGAGCCGGCATCGAAAGAGTCCTCATGGTTCTGCATCAGCAGCTCCTTGACACACTTGTGGCAAATGCTGTGCTGGCAGGGCAGGATCAGGGGGTGGGTGAAGAGCTCCTTACAGATTGGGCAGAGCAGTTCCCTCTCAATGTTCTTGATCGGGACCTGGGGAGGGAGGCATGATTACTGAAAACTGCTACACTTGGAAAATTGTACTTCAACATGAGGAACCAGGACTGCTGACATTCTTAAACTAACAAGACTTCACATAGAAACAAAGACAGAAATGGCATCACAGATCAGTCCTGAATAAGCCTGGCAACTTCCGTGTCTGGACACAGGATAGGCTTTCTCTGATTGTCAGAACAACCTGCTACAGGACACTGTAGATGCAGCTGAAGCACGACTATTGTCTGCACTCTCAGCTGTGAAAACAGTTTCCTACAATAGTTAGGTGAGGAAAACGGTCCTTTTAGGTGAGCACAGTCACACTGAGCCAGCCATTGTGTCTTTACTATTTCTGATACATTACATAAGACGTGATTAAGCCCAGCTAAATATAGACAAACAGTGATGATACACGATTCCAGAAGCTCGCGTTTTTACAAACTCCAAACCCAAAAAAACTGTCCTGCCATGTTCTGTGACCGATTCATTTCAGGTGCCGTGAAAACCATCCCAGTGAAGTCGATCCTCTGCCTGCCTGAACAAACTTTAATGACGGGAAACGCCTGTGCACGTGTTTTTAACAATACCCAGAAGGATCGAGGACTTTTAAAAACAGAAAACCGCAAACACTGCTGAGCTCCGACGGTTCACATAGAAACACCAAAGACACTCCAATTAGTAATGAATGGACACACACACAAGCAGCAGCTTCCAGCTAAATGTTTAACCTTTCACAATCACCGGTCTCTTTACGTGCACGGCAGAGAATCTACAAGTTGTTAAACAATGACCAGTGGAAAGCGCCTTTATCATCACCCCCAACGCCAAACATCCCCTCTTCTCCCACTTACCGCGATCGAACTACTACGTCGTCTCTCCGTGGACATTATGGAGGTAAACAGAGCTCCGGAGTTTATGTTCGGGGTAAAAACGACTTCTCGCACACGAGCAGAGGATGCGGACAACTACGGCGAGTGAATTTAAATAGTGACGCTGCTGATAGACGCAGCGCAGCCGTGAATCAGCAGCCAAATCACTGCTGCGTGCAGGGGGTGGGGGAACACGGCGTGTGCGTGCGTGCGTGTGAGAGAGTGAAAGAGAAGTCCATTTGCATACAGTTAAATCTATTTACTATGTTACCATGCTAACATCTGCGAGCACTAAACAGAAAATCCAATTGTTCTATTGTCTTTCGTTTTGCAGGTATTTGGTTATAAACCAACGGTGCTGATGTTGATGATAGCTGATGTTCAGCTACTGTATTTTACTGAATGAGCAAAAACCTTGCAGCTGGCACTGGATGAAAAGTGAGGGATGACCAAAGCAAGTATCATCCTCCAAGGAACCTGAATGTGGTTAAAAAATGTCAGGGCAAAACCCATATGTTGTAAATTCATGCTCATAATAATCCATCCTGTAGTCGGTGAAGTATTTCAGCTCTGAACCACAAATGTCAACCCGCTGTTGGCATTAAAAGTAAATTCTGAGGATTACATTGTAGTCAATTCAGTGTTTACCAAGACTGCTGGACCAAAGCGGTGGACACACTGCAATAGTAGCATGACTAAAAAGCACCTCTTATACACAAAATAAACATTAAATGAGGAGACGGGGAAGTAATTGGGTGGTGGATTAAATGTCTTGTGCCTTTACCAGTGTTGGACTTTTAGCAGAAAACACGAGATGTATGCAATGTGTGTTTTCTAATGCAAAAGCAGTAGTGGAGGTGGTTGGGAGTGTGACCGACTTTTCATCTTTCTTTTGTTTTGGTTTGCTCACTGCCGATGTACCAGCGTATTATCACAATTGAAAGTTAAAACAGAGGCACTCAGGTTCTACCATCGAGCTTCCTTAGTATTTGTAGGCCAGTTTTGCTGAACCTCTGGTCTCACAGTGGTCTACAGTCTTCACCCCACACATAGGGTTTCTATAGGCAACTTTACAAAAGGGGCAAGTTTAAACTACAACTTTTGTTTATTTTATAGTCTCTACTAATGTCAGGGTCCCTCCCATTATTTCAGGGGATTTATGAGCTGCTAACTGTTCACTGCAGTGGCTATTGGTAAGGTCTGCAGTTCATTTTAGTCTATTGCCCCTGAGCGGTAAACCAGCGAATAGTAAAGTCTTTCACTTAAATATTCAGTGGGAGCAGTCTGTGGGGACTTTTACGAGCCATGGGAATCAAACTGGGGGGGTGGGGGTATTGGTCCTTGTCTGTCCACTAAAACATACTCTACACAATTATGGATCATTTTCAAAGTATTTTATTTATTTTCATTCTCAAAAGGTTTTTCAGTTGCTTATATGAATTTGGTTTATTATAGGGATAATTTTTGTGCATTTCCACAGACTATGTAACCCTGGCTCCAACTGACTGGATATATTTTACTATTTACAGATTACTAGACTTTCAATAAATGTGGGATATAAATTTATTAAGGCATATCTTGTTAGGCAGGTAGGTAGGTAGGTAGGTAGGTAGGTAGGTAGGTAGGACTTTATTGATCTCACAGGGGGGAAATTCCTGTGTTCCAGCAGCAATAGAGAGCAGCAACAAGACACCATGAGAACATCTTGAAACAAAGTCCAAAGTATCTAAAACCAAACAGAATATAATATTTAAGAGACAATCAAGAACAAGAATGATCCTCCCACAATTAATCTCTGAGAACAAATCAAAAATACCTAAGAACAAGACAAGATATAGTATTTGAGAGAGATCGAGACATCAAGGGCAAGAACATTACTCCCATAATTAATCCCATAATGAGGGAAATGCCTGTATTTCAGCCATGAGGATCTCTAAAAAACTACTCAAAAATACCTAAAACAAGACAATATAAAGTATTTGAGAGAAATCAAGGACAAGAATTTACATATGTGCATATTAACCATGCATTTTACCACCAAGATTTAAGTATTGCAACACAGTAGATTATTACATAGTCCCTCATAATTTCACCTATCTTATCACTGCAGTGCTGTATTGTACAGTCTGATTGCTGTGGGGAGGAATGACCTACGGTAACGCTCCTTCTTGCACTGGTGATGTGGCAGTCTTGTGCTAAAAGAACTGTTCAGAGCCTGTACTGTGTGGTGCAGGGGATGGGAGGGGTTAGGTTATGCATGATGGATATTAGTTTTGCCAGCATCCCTCTGTCCGCCACCTCCTTGACGGAATCCAGAGGGCAGCCCAGGACAGACCCAGTTCTCTTAACCAGCTTGTTAAGTCTCTTTCTGTCCCTGTCCATGCTACCTCCTGCCCAGCCCACAACAGTGTAAAAAACTGCAGACGCCACCACAGTATCATAAAATGTCCAAAAAATAAAATGTTATTGTGTAATATATACCCTAAAGAAAGAGACCCAATAAAGAATCTCTTCTGCTAAATGTTGTGTTTATTTGTCATCTTCTTAACACTGTCCCAGATCATTCTGATGCTCCAGAAATAAGAGTAAATCTGGCTGACCACTGTGCGAGACAGGAATGATTAAACTTTAAAATTTCACCGAATTCAGCAACTGTAGCCAACTAGTGAGTCAATAAAGTGTAGCTCACAGCTCACACAGCTCATGCATACATGGATGAACGTTAAGGATTGTGTGAGTCGATATGTTCCAACACATTCTGTCAGTCTGAAATGGGTGAAAGGTGTACAGACCTCTTCCCTATGCACACACACACCTCAGGAAACCCAGTGCTTGTCTCACCACACAGCTACTGTCAGGTGTACCACATATTAACAAAAGTCTGAACTGCCTGCCAAGACACTCGGTGACTGAAGCCACTAATTAAACGCTTTATGTTCACTTTTTTGCACAAAATAAAAGAGAAGTCTATGCCTTAAAGCCCTGACATAGAATAAACGTGATAAGACTAGAACAGAATACAATAGAAGAGAACACAGAATGTGTGGATCTTTCAATAAATTACAGAAAAGGGCCTCTCAATACCTCAAACTTACAATGTCAGAACAGAGTTATGGGGCATATCAGTATCTAATAATATAATGTAAAGTATAACACACCAAAAGATTAAAGTTAAATCAATACTTTTGAACCGCATAGTGTTGACATTAATATAATTCATGCTACAAGACACACAACCGACATTTTACAGGAAAACGATAGAATAGAACATAATAGAATATGTCAGTTTATCTATATCCATTCAATTATTATAGCAGAACTCAATACAATGTTAGAATAAAGTGAAAAAAGAACAGAATTATGGGGATAGACCTGTATTTATTTGTCATAAACCATTAAATATTCTATAAAAATAGCTAACTGTCACGGTAAGGCTTCAGATCATGTCACAATATCAGAAGAGAATAAACTGTGGTAATACAACATAATGTGGGGCGGTGCCTGGTGCCTCAGAGCGAGGAGGTTATGGGTTCGAACACCAGCCACCCGGAGCCCCGCCAGCCACCCGGAGCCCCGCCCCTCGCCCAGTGCTAGCTGGGATTGCCCCGCCCCCCAGGACCCCCCCTCAGGATAAGTAGTATAGGTAATGAACAATATAATGTGATATCAACGAATACAAATGGTTGGTACTAGCATTGGAATACAATAGAATACTGTAAGTGTGGCTCTATAGACTATTAATAGAATATGCAATGTCCAAATATTTACATTTTTATGAATTATACATTTAGTTTTGATGCTTTGGCAACACTGTTTTGTTGAAACGCTCATGCCAATAAAGCCCCTTTTAACTGAATTGAATTGAAGAGGACCTATTATTGCTCAAATCAATGTTGAAATAGAATCCAGTGGTTGGGGCGAGTCCTTATTTAATATTAGCCACATAAATGGCTAATAGGATGGAATGTAACAGAATAGATTTGGTCAGAATAGCAGTGGCATGCAGGTGAAGTCGCGTTATAGAAATAAAATAGGTGTGGATCTACTGTAACTATGGGAAATCCAATGAATGGAACAGAAGATAACCTGTTAATAACGTAGACCATTTTAGAATATTACAACAGAGTGCAGCCTATTGTATAGGCTAATATAATATAATGTATTATCACTGAATAGACAGCGTTGATCCTGAAAGAATAGAATAGAATAGAATAGAATAGGTAGTGGCTTCGGTTTGTCAGCATCCCTCCCCATTCCCAGACAGCTCTGCAGGCCGGCGCACCGCTTGCTGCTGCCGGTGCACGGTGCACGCTGGCAGAGGCACCGTAAATCATCCGGAGGAGACTCACCTCGCCGCGCTCGATTCGCTCCACAATGCTGGCAAACTCCGTTATGTCCTCAGAGTCCGACATGGCTACAGATGACGATGATGTGGTGTAGTACCGGTCAAGGCGCACAGGACGTTTAAAATGTAGAAAAGCACACAAACAACACCTGCAGCTTAGGGGAAACAACAGGATCACAAGCTTCACAGGGAAGGTGAAATTACATGAAGACAGAAGAGACGCTCCTGTGACCACATCCTCCACCCTCCCTCCCCTGTACAGACTTATGTTTGCCCGTAGAGTCTACAGTACATGCGCCCGCTGCAAGAAGCCAATTTTATTTTACTTTGCTTCATCTTGGAGTGAAAACCCCGCCCTCGTCTCCTCAGCAGCCTACTGTACCATCTCCCTCCCTCTCGCCATCATCCCTCAGCGGCGACGTCTCGACTCACAGAGCCCTTTGTATCAGTGGGGTCTGTCACTCATCAACCGGCAGTGAAGGACTTTTGTTTTATCCATCGATCACTGGTCATATTCATAATAGGCTAATTCTGAACATTAAGGGACGGGGTGCTAGTGGTGGGGGTGTTAAATCAGTTGGCAACACGCGTGGTTGGCTGCATGCATGCATATGCTGCTCTACAATATATAGGCTGGTATCTTCTCACTGTGACCCAAATATCGCACTGCAGGTTATTAGCACTCAGTGGTTTGTTTTCTGTTGCTGGGAGGGTTTGAGAGGAGTTGCCCCTGGTTTCTGGGGAGAGGACCCGCCTCTTGAATGTGACAGAATCAAGAGAGACCTGTTTTACGCATGAGCTGGAATGTGAGGCGACTGTGTGAGGCCGAATTAAGCCCATGGTTTTAATTTTTCTGGCATTGCCACTTGTTCCGCATCACCAGATGGCTTCATGGCTCATGCAGACATATTCCACCCCACTGAGCATGTGGAGGGGACAAACGGGAAGGCTGCCATGCCGAAGCAAACAGTGCATGACCAAACTTAACTCATCTACGTTTATTTCCGACGACCCTGAACATTAGTGTTCATTACCTTTTGTTTAAACTATTTCCTCCATTCAGCTTCTCTGGGTCTTACAGAGGCACAGCAGTTGGAACCAACATTCCAGATTAGCACTCATCAGAGCAAAGGCTGCTGTAGTAATCCATATTACACCTGTGGATCACTAAAAATGAGTCAGTGAATGCTTGTGTGGTAGCAACAGCTCCATTCACCCTTTGTCACTTGGGTTTGACAGTGATCTTAGTTTCAATTTTTGCTGCAACAATGGAAGAAAATCTGAATAATCAGTTTACCAAACCAGTTTTCTCTTCCAGTCAGCCTTTCCTGTTTGGTGGTGATATAGAATTACATGTTTCCTAGAGGCCTCTGGGGACACACAGGTATAAACTGTCTGATGAACCATAACCACACCCAAAGTACGGCTGAGGCTGGCTGTCAAGGGAGCATCTCCAGAGAATTTCTGTCTGGGCTGGGCTGTATTCACAGGGGAGGAAAAGACATTTCAAGCCTTATTTTTATTCTTTAAAAAAAAAGCTTTCTAACCTTGAAAAAACATATGTGATCAAGTGCTGTCTACATTTTTATTACTTGTATATCCAGAATAGATATCTACGTGCCACTAGGCCCCGCAGTTCCTTATCTGAACCAGCAGTGAAGTCTGTGGCTCTACTCTGCAGCTCCCAGGTGGGACTCTGTGTTTCCCCAAGGCTTTTAATTGTGCCTTAGTCACTCACCTAGCAAAGGACAGGGAAAACTCATCAGACCGTGCTACTTTAAAGCACAATGTATTCACGTCAGGAAAAAAATGAAAGGCAATTCAGGAGGAACACTGACCAGATGTCATCTCTGAAGTTAAAAACAGAGCTACAACAACTTTGAATCATCTAACCACATAGGATATGGACACCAAGACAGAAACCCAGCTGGTGTGGGTAGCACTAATCATATAAAACCCAAATAAGCAGAAACAAGATGCCAATTTTTTCTTTTTCCTAAAAAAAACATCTTAAATAGAGAGAAGGAAAACCTTATCTGAAAATGGGGACATGATGCCCAGCTGTAAGAATGAAAGTGGCATGTTTGACTCAGGATATCAGAAGTGGATCTTCTGAGATTTCAGCTTTATTAGTTGGGGGCAGGTAGGTAGTCTAGGTCCCTACATGATAAACCCAAATGAATTTGGTAACTCCAGGACCTTTTCTGTAAAACAGCCTTTTATAAAAGTTAATTCATAATCTAATAACAGTTTGCCATGAATCTTGTTAAACATATTAATGTTCCAAAGGATGATAAAAGCCAGAGTTCAATAACCTAAAGCAACAACTTTACTTTACACCTTTACAGTAAGTCATACACACACACAAAAAGCCCCCACACCATTGTAAAAGTTAATGTTTTTATTTACCATAAATACAGTATGCACTGCAAAGCATTAATAAACATTTCTGCCGATGTATTATGATACATCACATATGGAAGCTTGCATATCCATTTCCTGTGTCACACTGATGTAGCTGTAAACGTGTTTTCATCTTGAGCACTTGCACAACCAAAGTCACATATTTATAGACATTTACATATTTCTACAAAGCTTAGAAAAAATAAATTCATTACATTTATTATTACATGATGTATATTAGTTGGTGATAGAGCAAGATTTTTTTTTGATTGGCTGCATCGCTAAAGACTTTCATAATCCTTTTACATCTGGGGGCCATCAAACAGTCACCCTCAGCTTTCACTGCAGCAGTCTCACAAAGCCCTGGTCCCTTCTTTCCATGCTGAGGCACAGAGAGCTTTGACTGCAGTGTGACTTGGCAAAAAAAGAGACAACTCATCAGCTGCTGAGATTAACGGCAAACTGATCCCTCCAATCTCTCAACTTTGTAAAATCTGAGTAAGCATTTATGGGTTTTGCCACAGTGATATCCTCCCTTCTTATGTAAATACATTATTAATCAGACATGAAGGAAAACAGATAGAGGAGGTTATATCTGATTGGTTAAGTGACCTCAACAAAGATGGAAGGAGAAAAAAAACAGTGTGCTTCACTTTCTGAATGTTTAAACGGTTTTAGCCCCCCCTCCCCCCGATCCTCTGCAGAGAAGGCTTACAGTATATTCAGTGGCTTTCTTGATAGAAACAGTCAAGCTGAGCATGCAGCACAAGTAGCGAGGTCAGACATAAGAGACCATTTAGGGAGCAGTGACCCAGAACAATGCCACATAAGGCACATTTCAGAGTCAGGTTTGAGTGAGCGATCTTGCCACGTGACTTGGCCGATGCACATAAGGAGGATCCAAGAAGTCTCTTCAGAAAATGCATGAGAAGAAGTACTGTCATTCAATTTCAATGGATCTAGTTCAGCAGTAATAGCCATTTTATTTTTGTCATTTTTGCCCTAAGACCACTTCAGATGTAGAACATGTAAAGAAAAAGAAAAAATATAGAATATATATATTATTATTATGTTTTGTTTAAAAAAAAAAAAAAGGCAGGGGGGGAGTC